GGTCTGGTTTCTTTGTATTTTTATAACTATCCAAGTCTGGTCTGGTCTGGTCTGGTCTGGTCTGGTCTGAACTGGTCTGGTCTGGTCTGGACTGGTCTGGTCTGGTCTGGGACAAATTACCGTCCAAGTAAAAACATCCTTAGCATTGACGATAGGTTACGTGATAGAAGCTAAAAATGGATTTGCTTAACATCTGGGACCGTAACTACTCCAGTGTATACACAATTACGGAAATACAATAATTAAATTATAATATTCCGTAGGGTGTATATTTAAAAACTTTTATATTGAGATAATTTTTCAAATAGGAGTAAAACATGAAATAAAAAAAATAAGAGTAACTTTTTTTAAGTTTGGTAAATAATACTCTAGACTATATTTTTTTGTAGTCAATATGGCGAAACTTTTCGGGACGGGAGATTTTTTTTAAGTTACATTTCTAGCCTTTTTGAGTATCTTGTTTTTTCGTGTCCTTGCTAATTGGTACCAGAGTTTGAGCGGGGACTATAATACTTACTCCGTAGATGTTTACTCATCAAAGTAAGCATCTTCAAATGCTCAATGAATCAATTCACAAAATGTTTGGTTTAAAAAAAATTGAGCCACTGAGGAGTAGTGAGGAGTGAGGAGTGAGCAACGAACATACCTGACATGCCATGTTAATTAAGGAAGAATATATAAAGTTGTGTACCTTATAGTAAAAGCAAAGTGCTAATTGTGAGAATTTGGATAACAAGCACACCCAAAAGTACGAAATAAACTATAGTCAGGAATTTTATGAAAAAGTTTTTCATATGGTGAGACACCAAAAAGCGTAAGAGAAGGAAGTCTGTTAATAATATATACAGCAGTAAAAATAGCATCAACCCAGAAGGTGCTTCGAATAGAAGCTGTGAGAAGCATAGTCCGAGCAAGTTCTAGGAGATGACGATGTTTGCGTTCATCAACACCATTTTGTTGAGGAGTATAGGGACAAGATTTTTGAAAATATATGCCATGTTCAGCCAAAAATTGCTGTATATGAAAATTAACAAACTCACCCCCTCCATCACTTTGAAAAACTTTAATTTTAGCATTAAACAAATTTTCAACTAACACTTTAAATAAACGGAACTGAGTCAAAACTTCATTTTTAGCATGCAAAGGATAAATCCAGGTAAAACGAGAAAAATCATCAATGAAACACACCTAATATTTAAATCCTAAATTAGACAATACAGGAGATTGTCACACATCAGAATGAATTAATTGTAATGGTGAAGAAGAATTATGACTAGCATCTGAAAAAGATAATCGTTGAGATTTACCCAAACGACAAGAAACACAATCATGTTCAAAATTTGAGGAACTAGAAATAAGTTTGCTACTACGCAACTGGCGTAAAATAGTTTCGCCACAATGTCCTAATCTACGGTGCCACACAGTGCCAGAAGTAATAGTAGAAACTAAAGCTAGGGATGCAGGAGGACTGAGACTGACAGGGTAGAGATGATCATTATGACGCGTCTGAAGTAGAACTGCCCCCGAAATTTTGTCCTTAACACAAAAAGAATTTTTATCAAAAATAGCAACACAGTTATTATCAGCGCACAATTTTTGAATGGAAATTAAATTAAATTTAATTTGAGGCACATGATAAACAGATTTCAATGACAGTGGGCGGCTAGGGTTTTTTAATGTGATATCACCAATATTAGCAATGGGAAGTTTAAGACCATTTGCAACACTAACAGACATGGTGCCATAATAAGGGGATTTATTTGACAAAATACCTTCAGACGATGCCATATGAGTAGAAGCTCCAGAGTCCGGGTACCACAAAGCATTGTTAGATTCGCCACTGGGAGCAACCAACGCAGGTGCAGAGGATTGAGAAAAGCGAGACGGACAGTGCAAGGCAGAATGACCTGCAGAGAAACAAATCTGACACACAACTGGGGAAGGTACTGAACCAAGAATACCCTCAGATGATGGGAAACCTGCATAATGAGAGTAAGTACCAATAGTAGATTTAGCATTAATATTTAAAGTGGACACAACAGATTTACCAGATGGTGCATTTTGTGGTCGTGAATGAGATGCCCCCCCTGCGGCCAAGAACTGAGGCTGCAGTTGTTGACCCTAGAAGTGTGTAGTCTGCTGGCCGAAACCATTTGGCTGACCATGAGGCTGCCCGTAGCCCTGATTTTGGAACCGGCCTCTGCCACGGCCCCCGCTATCGCGTCCGCCTCTGCCTCGGCCTCCTCTGCCGCGGTAAGCGCCATTGTAAGGCTGCTGTCCAGCCTGAACCTGTGGAGCACCAGCAACATGAACTCCAAAAGCAGGCTGGAGCTGAGAAGAATCCTGCTGCCGTTGGAACAAAATAAGCTGCTCGGCCTCCATTAATCTAGGATGAAGAATATCTGGCGGGAAATTTTTAGGAAATAAAGAGATGGTTCCCGCAATGGAGGCATATTCTGGTCCCAGGCCATACAAAGTGCACTGCAATAATTCTTTGTTGCTCACTGGATAATTAATTGTAGCTAGAGAATCAGCCAATTTCTTAATTCCAAGCAAATAATTTTCCATGGACTGGTTGTCCTTCTTTTTAATTGCATTCAGGTTATGCTTAAGTTCCATGGCATGAGGTAAACTGGCAGACATGAAGCGTTTTTGCAAACGATCCCATATACCCGATGAATGTTTAATATCATGCACATCGGTTAATACATCGCGAGAAAGAGTCGCAAACAACCAAGAACGAATTGTTTGATCTACTCGAAGCCAATGATAATATTCGGTATTACTGATTTGCTGATTATTAAAATTCACCGTATACATGGGAGGTACCTGAATTGATCCGTCAACCATGCCAAAAAACCCTTGTGAGACGAGGAAGGACTCAAACTGTGTCCGCCACGTGAGATAGTCTTCAACAGCGTTGAGCTTTATGATGACAATTTGACCAACATTGGTTATCCCATGAGAGACGGTCTGTGCCAAGCGAGCCATAGGAGATCCAAACAGGAGGTTTTCATTGACTGGGAGATTTATACCCGGCGTTCCAGCAAAAGTGGGCCCGAAATAAGTGGAAGATGAAGCCTGCTCGGTACAGGGGAGGACTGGAGAACCATCCTGCGGCCAGGGAAGCTGATGTGGGATGACCGACTGCGCTGGTGGATGAACAGAGGGAAGGGTCGGCGTCCAAGTGAAGATTGGGGAGTTCCAAGCGCTAAACTCACCCCGAATATTTTCTCTCATATGAGAGAAAATATTCGGTATATCGTACCGAACCACCCCGAATATTTTCTCTCATACCTTTGTCGCACCAAAACTTTTGGTATACAAAATTTATATATCGTTACCTAACCGAAGTTTCAGTATGCTGCATTTCGATATTTTGAACTTTTGATTCACTAACGGTACCATATCGGTGGTAAACTACAATGCATGTCTCTCAATACAAAAAAATATTATAGACTAATGAAATATAAAAAATCAGTGTTACTAGCGACATCTTTAATCCATTATTAAAATGTTATAAAGTACAAATAATCCATTGATGTCATATTCAATATTGAACAATTATTATTATATTAGTAGATTTAAGTAGCTCAACATGTCACACATTAAAAAATAACATATTCCTCCTAAAATAACCGAAACGATATAGATATAATTAAATCAATACTAATCTCTTACAAAAAAAACTATTCAAACAACATGGATACAAAATCATTTGTCCCTGATATGATGTTGTGTATTCTATGTTGCACGGAAACGCAAAAATCATGAGGAAACGGGAATCAGGAAATGTCAGCTTTTGCTCAAAAAGGCTTATTTGGAGAGTTTCTAAAGAGTTTCTGAGAGTTTCCGAAACGGTAAAAGTACTCTTTCCTGAGAGTTTCCGTGCTACATAGTGTGTATTTAATCATTTTTATAATTTTAAATAATACTCTGTACGGAATAAGACTTTCAGTATAACGGTATATCGGTATACCTTTTATTTTTAAAAGATATATCAATACCATACCAAAATTATTTGGTACGGTACATACTATACCGAAAATGTCGATAGACCTAAATCTTTGATAAACTCGGTATTTTTTCGATATGGTAAATACAATATACCAAAAATTTGATATTTTTCTCCATCCTTAAAGCCAAACAATCCATCTATGAAGATTAATTAGATAGTTAAAATCAATAGGAGCCCGTTTGGTGACCCCCATTTTTGGCTTATCAGGCTTATCGGTCAGCTTTTTCACCAAACACGTAATTTTTAATTTCACGCGCTGAATTGTGTAATAAGAAGAAAAAGTAAGGTTGGAGTTACTTTTCTGGCTGTATTGGCTGAAGTTACTGTAGAGGATCATTTTGGCTATTTTTTCGTACAAATTTTTATTTTATTTATTAATAAAAAATATTTTAAATATAATTTTTTCATGAATGAATCAACCAATACAGCCACTTTAGTCAGAACTTCATAAAATTCAGCAAAATCAGCTAATTTTAGTGTTACCAAACGGGTTGAAAATTAAAAAAAACGATTGATTTTTCCAATGGAGACCATCAATCCACTGATACAATCATATAACAAAAATTAAAAACCATGGCTTTACTTAGCATGACTTGAGTGTTGAAAAAAAGTTCGAAATGTGGCTGCTGGGATTCGAGCCCAGGTCTCCACGGCCACAACGTGGAATTCTTACCACTAAACTACAGCCACATGTTGAGTGCTTACTAACCTTTTTTTAATTTATCACAATTGCCTTCCTTTTTGGCTAACGGAGCAGTTTTGATTTTTCGAGCGTTCGTTACCGCGGCAAATGACCCCGTTCAGGAAAAAGCACAATCCGCGATTACGATGTTTTCAAGAAACGCTATCCGTCGATGTATCTCTGATAGACGGTCTATATTACCTCTTTTCCCTCACGCGGATCGAAATTCTTATCCGTCGATAATGTAATTCCAATCGACGGTCCAGATTGAAATCACCATCCACTTACCCGGCAATAAAAAGCGCACCCACCTTCCATTCAACCCACCGCGAATTTCCTGATTTCCCACTCTCAAATTTGAAGTTTTCATTGTTTCGATCTGCAAAAATGTCCGGCCGTGGTAAGGGAGGCAAAGGATTGGGGAAGGGCGGAGCCAAGCGTCACAGGAAGGTTCTTCGCGACAACATCCAGGGCATCACTAAGCCCGCCATTCGCCGTTTGGCTCGCAGAGGCGGCGTGAAGCGTATCTCCGGCCTCATCTACGAAGAAACCAGAGGAGTTCTCAAAATCTTCCTCGAGAATGTTATCAGAGACGCCGTCACCTACACCGAGCATGCTCGGAGGAAAACCGTGACGGCGATGGATGTCGTCTATGCTCTCAAGAGGCAGGGAAGGACTTTGTACGGATTCGGAGGGTAGAGATTTGTGGAAGTTTCGATGTTCATCTGATCTAAACGCAGATGCATTTTCCTGCTTGATTTCGAAGCTGTAGTTAGTTATCTTACCTTTGTATTGTGGTTGATGAATCAGAACATTTATATGAAGCGAAACTTTTTCTTATATCTGTCTTCTTCTCGTTTCTATCAAATTTGATAAGTTTAGTTGATTCGATTAGGTTGTAATTTCAATTGATGATATTTTTGCGCATTTTGCAATTCGCTGTAGTTTCGAGATTCCAGTTTCCAAAAGTATGAGCGTTCGACAGCTTTTTCTTAAGAGTGAATTCCCTAAATAGGACTAAAAAGTGGAAAAATTGCACAAATAGGACTACATTTTTTAAATTCCCTTAATAGGACTATTTATGTGTGTTTGGACAAATATACCCTTGTAACTTGTGAAATGTTTTAATTAATAATAAAATCATAAAAAAATTAATAAAAATCGAAAAAAATACTAAAAATCGTAAAAAAATAATAGAAAATTAATAAAAATATTTTTTTAAAAAAATAAAAAAAATATTTTTTTAAAAAAAAATAAAAAATAAATAAAAAAAATCATAAAATTAAAAAAAAACACATTACCACCCCTGCCACCCCCAACACCACCATCTCCCATCACCGGACAAAAATATGCCAACATTTTAAATAATGCCATAATGATGGCATAATCAATGAAAATGTTGGCATATTGAAGAGTAATTATGCCATCTTTCTGGCATTTTCAGAAAAATATGGCATTTTTTTACCAAAAGTGGAAGAAATTTCACCAATCGAAGGTGGTGGTGCTGGGAGGCGGTGAGAAAGGTATCCATAATTTTTTTCATTTTTTATGGGTTTTTACTATTTTTTATTATTTTTTTAAAAAATTAAAAAAATAAAAAATTAAATTTTTTATTTTATAAATTTTTATAATTTTTTTTTAATTTTTTTACGTTTTTTAAATATTTGTTTACGTTTTTTGTGATTTTATTATGAATTAAAGCATTTCATTATGAATTAATACTCTTAGGGGTATTTAGGGTAGAAAATCAATGTTTAGTCCTATTTAGGGAATTTTAAAAATAGTAGTCCTATTTGTGCTTTTTAGGAACTTTTTAGTCCTATTTAGGACAATTTCCGTTTTCTTAATTCGAAAGGGATGTAGATATAACTAATCCAACCTTCATATACTTGATGATCATTCAATCGGCCTGTGCGTTGGGCGATTAGTTAAAGTGACGAAATTTTAGATGCCATCGTTATCTATAGTTCTTGAAGCTCTTGAGAACTGTATTCTGTAGTGTTACGTGTATGCTCAAATTAATGGATACTGCAAATTTGAGTAAAGATTGTTCTGTTAAGTACTCGTAAATAAATAAAAAACTGCAAGTTAAATGAGTTTAGCTGTAATTCATAGCTGTAATATCTCTAATTTTGCCTCTCACTATGACTTTTAGCTCGATAGTTCACCAGTTCATATGCTCTTCTTGAATACCAAATTTACAGATTTGTTACTTGCAAGGTTGCTACCTCTTTTCCTTCAATAACCTAAATTGTCTTTCCTTTCCCACTACACCTCTATTCCTCTAATCAATATAGACCTGTCCTTAACAAGTAAATGTCAGGGCCATTTTCTCAAGATGACACCCCAGGGCCCAACACCGATCAGACGTCATGATAGGAGGATGTAAATTGAACTATAATCACAATTTGACAGATAGATAGTGAGGTTCTGTCCCCGGTACTACAGAGGCCCTATGCATTTTTAGCATAGTAACCTCTCATTGCAGTTGCCTGGATTCGAACCTGAGACCTAACCCTTGTAACACTCCCTCACTACTAGTTAGCTACGCCCGTCGGTGGATAGGGATGGACTCGGCTTGGGCCGTCCAGCCCGGGAAACCTGTTCCGGTTCGGGCCTAGGCCCGAAGGGTTAAGCGGTTCCGGGTCATGAAAAGGCGAACCGGTTCAAGCCTTTTTTTTCAATTGTTTTTCGTTTTTCCCCCAGGTTGGGCTGAGTGTTTTGGGGGGTTTGGGGGGTGGGGGTGAGGGGGGGGGGGGATCGGGGGTTAATTAGAAACGCAAAATAAAATTAAAAAAAATAAGAAGTGAACCGGCCCGGCCCAGAACCGCCGCCTACCCGGGCCAGTTCCGATTCTTCCTTCCCAAAAAAAAAGTCCGGCCGGGCCCTAGCCCGAATCGGAACCAGCCCGGCCCGGGTCCATCCCTACCGGTGTGCCATTTTCTCCTTCACCATGTTTCTTGTTTTCCAAAAGAAAATCGGAAGGAGAAGCATAATTTACTACATCTATTTGCATGGGCGGATCTACTATCGATCCAAACTCCAAAGTGTTCCTTGAACACTCAAAGTTTTTTAAAAATGTAAAAATATACACCAATAAATTTAATATCATTATTTAGTGTTCACTAAAGTTTTAATTGTAAAAGTTTTTGAACACTCAAACTGAGAATGGTAAGTCCGCTACTGTCTATTTGTACATGAACTCTAGCTTTTATGTTTTATTATTAGTTGAATCATGTTCGTGCTTCAAAATTCTACTGTTTGACTAGTAAGAATCCATGTCACTAGAGAATAGTTGATCTGTCAAGTTATGTTCTCAAGCTCTTGTAAGATTGTTAATTTGGGTGTATTTCGGAATCCGGGTTCCTCTGTCTAGTGGCGCTGTTTGCTTGTTTGTTATAGTCCTTATTTTGTTCTGCAAAAATGTTAGGTGTATCCCATTTTGGATATCACATTCGCACACATTGTCTGTCTACGTTGACAGAGTTGTGTTACAAAGAAAACTCTGTCTGCATAAACAGACAATGTGTGCGAATGAGGTACACAAACTGGTGTACACCTAGCGTTTCTCTATATTATATTTCAAGTTGGTGTACACCTAACATTTCTCTATATTCTATTTCAAGTTGACATGACTGCAATTACACTTTTGTTATAAGTAATAACTAAAAATAATAAATCCTTATAAGTGTTTTTTTACATTCTAACAATTTAAACAACTAATTTTACCAAACATTTGCTAATAATAAGCTAATATAATCAGTCAATCAAAATAGCTAACACAATCAGCTATTATCAAACAATTACTACGAAGTATAAGGAACTAACAGCTAACCCCTAACCGCTGATTGTCAAACAAGGCCTATGTTTAGTACTCCGTAGAAAACTTATATAATGCACATATACAATATTATTTATTTATATATACTAGTACACAACTATTCAGGTCCGGCCAGGCCGGACCACTCCCCCCGTCCGGCCTCCTCCATTTGGGAGCCTTTCCGGTGATATTTTTTGCTCAAATTTTTTGTGTAGGTTCCTCATCAAGTCTAGTTCATTCATACCAAATTTCAGCCAAAATTTCAATCGGGAAGGTTGTCAAATAATTTTTGCAAGTTAACTGGTCCGGAATATGTATTTTCCTCAGACTTGATGAGGAACCTACACAAAAAATTTGAGCAAAAAATACCACCAGGAAGGCCCCAAATGGAGGAGGCCGGACGGGGCTGCGGTCAGGTATACCTGACCGGAAGAGTACTCTATACTAGTATATCTTAAACACATTACTAAGTTAAATTATGTTTGAATAAGAATTGGTGATAGTTTTGGAGCCTAAATATTTATGGTTTATTTGTAATTTGTATTTGCGAATAATATTCTTTCAAAATAGGTTTTAACTATTCAAGTGACGTTCCTCAGGCCATTAAAATATTCAGCTCGTCAGTCGTCATCTCAGCCTCAGCGGGTTATAGTGACCAAATTGAGAACAAAATGTAGATATTCGTATGTGTTTAATGTGTGTACTAAGCTATGTTTACTTTTTCTAAACGAATATGTAGTTTGGCAAAGTATAAACACAACAAATGCACATTTAGGAAATAGCAAATGAGTTTTATTACTTTTTGTAATATGATGAGTCTCACGCTTTCAATTTGAAGTTCAAATTCCAAGATACTTACCGTACATTTCTCATCACACAATCACTAGAGTAAGATTTTCTTTCACAAAAGAAAATGAATATAGTAAGATTAGACTTATTATTGTAGCTTCAATAGGTGGGTGTACACTGCAAAGGTATTACCCAGCTGGCCAGTTTGCATTTTTAGAACTAGTTTCACGCTGCTAATATTGCATCTGCAATGCAAGCCTCAAGTAACGAGAAAGATTAGCAAACTTTCCTCTCCCAAGAAAGAAGAAATAAATAAAAGGCTAGCGAAGTGATTACACACCCAAATATACCTAAAGTTAGTTCTATTTTTTTGCTTTACATCTGCTCACATGTATTTCAGAATGTTAAATTTAGTATCAGTGCCAGTAATTTTGCATTTCCATTTGTTTCTCTCGGATGAAAAATGCAAATAACAAAGTTGTAATGATTCAAAATGATCACAACTAAATTTCCTCATCTTCAAATGGATCTAGCTCTGGATAATCCCCAACCTGAACGAACAAACAAACACACATGTATTACCCAACCAGAACCAACACCATCACTATATAAACAACCAAGGACATTAGTTTTTTTCTTTCAGATTTAGATAAAAATGTCCTACCATAACTTTTTCCTAGTGTAATTTCGCACGAGTATGTTCTAATAATAATAGTAGCTCCGTTCTAGGAAAACAACCTTGATTAATCTAGATATAAGTTTTTAGTTTTGGTAAAGTTCAACATCTGTAAAATATCAATACTAAAATTCTTAAACCAAGTATAACACATTCAACTTGTTAGGAACCTCTTTTCTTCTGGAAAATATTACACTATATTCAATGAATTTAGTTTCTTTTGTTGAAAAGAACCTTAGTTTTAACAAAAATAAGCTTTGAAGCATGACTTTTTGGGCGGAGGGATTACATTTTGACAAATAAGCTTGGCCAATAACTCACCAATGGTTGTAACCCAAGATATAATTGGTAGAGGTTTGACAAATAATAGGGATATTGTTTTGTACTCGTATAATTTTTTAAAGTAAAATAAAATGACCCTTGGAAGCACAAAATGCAGTACTATTTCATGTGCACAAAGTGACAACAAAATAAGTAACAAACCAAGCAACCATATATCAGAACTGTCCTTCACTCCCTCATATTATTGGAAGTCTGGAATATTTTAAAAAAAAGCTGCACAAACCTTTACTTTATCAGGGCGAACAATTGAGCCATGAAGAGGAGGACAATCGAAGTAGCGTTTGCCTTTCACCCTAACAGAAGAACCAACAGTCAAAGTTGAGCTATTGATGCAAAAAAGAAATACCATACCAGTTTCTTGAGGCAACACCTTAAATCCAATGTAAAATTGCATATTTGGAATGCATAAACTTGTATAATGTATTTCATTAATGCATTATTCCTCAGTAAGAGAGATGGAAAATATATTGCAACATTTTGACTTTTACAGGATAAAGTCCAAATGTAGAGTTGGGAAGGCTCCATTGTTTTTAAATTGCAACATTTGGACTTTCAGATTATTCAATTACCATACTTAAAGCTATCATTTATGAGGAAGCGACAGCTCAACTGGTCGTCGATTCACTCTCTCATATGGGAGGTCTCGGGTTCAAAACTCCATTGAGGGAGTTTCAGCCCTATTTACCCCAGGCCCCCCCCAGCCCCCATTTATATAAACTGCGTTTAAACATCGTCTATATTAAATTTTAAAAATATCAACTTTTTATTACTTCTAGTAATGGTTAGTTATATATGTGAGCGGTTGAAGTTGTGTATAGGCAAACATGGAAGTCAAATTGTTGTAATTAAAAAGGAATAAAAGTATCAATTTTAGTACATGGTCACCAAACATCCGGGACATCTGACACTATGTATTATGCAAACAAGGCATCTTGATTCTACCGTTGTTTCTGTTCCAAGGTTGTTGTAGAAATAAAAGACAAATCATTTTTCCGTAGAGCCAAGGTAAAGAAATTGGGAATGATGTGAACAAGAAGATGCCGTGTTAGTTCAAAAGAAAACCAATGCAAGTTTGCAACACCTGAGGGCAACGATGTGCTTGAAACACATATTTAAAGATTATCGATCAAAACAAGGACCTAAACTTACACCTGCATATGAATTGTTTCTCTCACAAACAGCGTTATGGTCTTGTGAGATTGCATAACCTACTTCATGAACAGTGTTATATACTCAAAGGATATTGTATGATTGAGTGGTTTTAACATGTTCATTAGTTTCTCAATCCAACTCCTGTATCTGCATGTATAGGATATTAGGATGTGAAAGGTGCTAGTTATCATCAAACTGAACTTCATTTTATCTTCTTTTAGTTTCAAAACAGAATCCCATACTAAATTGGAATCAGTGACATACCGTTCGAAGTAGTAATTAGTTGTGAAAAGATTTTATGTCACAAATACATGCAAAAAAATAATTAATGCTACAGATTCGTGCAAAAAATATACAATGACAAAGCTTTATGCTGAAAGCCCTTTGTCGCAACCTTCTACACGAATAATGTGATGAATTTCCAAATTCATCAACACCATGCATGTAATGACAATGAACTGGGATAGTTGTTATATTGACGCCGTATTGCAGAATTGATATTGTAAGGTGAACCTAAGCACTGTGGAAACTGAAAATTTTGCAAAAATACAATCTTTAAGCTACATGCCATCATATTTTCCTCCCGGTTAATTAATATGTGCATCACAGATTCTTAATCATCATAGGACAACAAAGAGCTCAGATACTTGTTATAGAGATATCTTGTTGCAAAGTCATACATGGTAGTAACGTAATATCAACAATAGCATAAAGGAACATTAAAAGAAGTACGACCTCCAGCCCAGAATAGGGTTCTAACACACTATTCAAGTAGTCAACTTAATTTGCATATACAAGTAATTTTTTTAATATTTCAGGTCAACCATTGCAATTCAAACCAAGAACCTTAATATGGGGCAAAGAGAGAAGTAAATTAAAAATATTATTTAACTTACATGCCATCGTGTTTTCCTACGGGTTCGTCGAATTGCACTCCAACCCAAAAGCCAGGAGCAAGTGTTTCTGCCCGACCCACAAATTTGACAACGCCTCTCCTTTCTCTAGGTTCAACTAGGCATCTATCTCCTACCTTCTTGGGCAAGAAGAACTTGTCAGTTCAGAATCAAAACTTTTTATATATGAAGGACACATGTATTTATAAAAGAAACACAGAAACAAAAACCTCTTGACACACGAAATGGGAAATGCAAGAAACGGCATTTTCAAAAAAAGGACACGAAATGTGGGGGAAACGCGAAAATATAAAAAATACAAGGATGTTTTAATAAATAATCATATATATATATATATATATATATATATATATATATATAAACATAAATTTCTCTAATATTAGTGCCAAACAAAATTGAATAGTAATGTATCATATCTTAAAAAACACAAACTTTTCATAAACTAAACTGAAATTGCAACATCCATAAACTAAACTCATTCTCTGCTTCATGAACATCATCAAAGAAAACATGCGCCAGATCTGACTCATCCAAAGAGAGAATGGCAAACTCAAGCAACACACCAACATCTTGTAAGCTTGAGAATTGATCTTCACCGACATCTCACATTTTTGTTTTCTCTTCATTGTGAGCAATCTTTCTTGATAGTAACCGGAGATTATTATGGATGAACACTAAATCTTTTGTGCGCTTTGGATTAAAGAATATCTGCTCCAATTCCGTTTGCAGCAAGATGAAGAACTAGGTTGCTTGAGCACTCTAAAAGACAACTTCTGAAGTAATGGTGCACTCGCACTATACATCATTTTCTAGGATCAGTATCAAACATATCAGAAATAGAATCACTGAAGGGACCAATCTTTAGAGAGAAATTAGCATATTCATTGTTTGCTTTGACTCGCTCTTCCTTTGGGAAAGATTCTTCTAAAACATTTATTTCTCTCTAAAGAGAGTTCACTGAGAGAGACTCTATCAACTCCTTGAAGCTATTTTTCGCTATAATACCTTTAAAAAGTATTAAATAATTCAAAGTTAATATTAAAAATAAATTATAGAACAACTAGTTAAATAGAAATATATTGTGAGTTTAAAGAAGGGGTAATTTGAGTTTGCACCCTAAATTATTGTCTAAATTGGACTTTGCACACCGTTTTTAAAACTCTTTGTTTTTGCACCCCAACCCCCTATGAAAAGACAAAAATTCCCATCCATTAACAATTTTGTTGACCTTCAACATATTCCTGATTGAGGGCATTTTTGTCTTTTTATATGGGATTGGGGTGCAAAAACAAATAAGAATGAGCTAGGCAGTGAAGTGGAGTATTATGTTTGGTCCAACGATCAATAAGAATCTTGTGAACAACATAATAAAAGGGAGAATATTAAGCAAATGAATATCATGCACAAAAATAGTGGAGCATGTTTTCTTTGATGATGATGTTCATGAAGCAGAGAATGAGTCTAATGAAGTTTAATTTAGTTTATGGATGTTGCAATTTCAATTTAGTTTATGAGAAGTTTGTGATTTTTAAGATATGATACATTATTATACTTCATTTTTGTTTGGCACTAATATTAGAGAAGTTTTTGTTTACATATATATATGTGATTATTTATTAAAACATCCTATATTTTTTTATATGTACGCGTTTTCCCCACTTTTCGTGTCCTACTCTTTTTTAAAATGTCGTTTCCTGTGTTTCCCGTTTCTCATTTTTGTGCTACATAGCTAGGGGGTTGACTTTCTTTAATTTTCTATTACATATACTTTAGTCATAACTAATAAGAAGCACAATAATTATAATGGCTCACTGAAATGAACCAATGGCTAAAGAAGAAGACGAATGCAGTATAAGCAGTAAACAGGGAGCTGCCAAACTGTGAAAGGAAAGTAAACAGTGACTGACTGTTTCATCTTCTTCGCTATACTGTGGGAGATGTTTAGTCTAATAGTTACTCTTTGTTATTGTAGTTATTCTGGATTGTGAATATTCTCATTATCTATTGGGGCATGAGTTTCAAATTTAATGGAAAAGCATAAAATTCATTATAAAAGCAATGGGAGTTTTGGATCACAAGAAATTCCAACATTATGGAGGTTGGGATCTCAACAAAATCACAACCGAACCACAACTTCATATATATTCATATATATATATATATATATATATATATTCACACACACACACATATATTCATTTAATCTTTATTAATTGAAAATTCATTGACGTCTCTATATCAAAATTCAGAACACCAATCCTTTCCCTCTTCATATTCATTTGCCTATATATAAATACAAAAATCCTGGAAACCTTGTACTGTTCAGCAACGAGAAGCTAGTTTTGGATCTCATTATGATTATGATCATTGAATGGCTCCAGCATACAAAATTAGTTACTTTTCTATTCTGTTCTAAAGCATTTACTTTTTTGGTTATTAAAAGAATGTTTACTAGTGCAAATCAGTGAGTACCATACCGCACTGAAAATGGGAAAAACTTTTCACCCCCCCCCCCCAAAAAAAAAAAAAAGAAAAAACAAAAAGGAAAAAGTGACAGGTAAATTGAAACTCAACAAGACCGACCTTGATCGATGCGCAAAGATCTTCCATGTAATTGTCACAAATCTGTTTGAATAATCAATACAGAGAACAAAATAATCAAATACACCAAATAAAAGGAAAAACTTTTAAGATTAGTGATTTGGTGGTAATTTTAGAGATGTTTAATATACTATATATCTTACTAGGAGAAAAGGCAGGCACAATATTGTTAAGAGTACTGCATAATTGAGATATTACATTGGTGAACAAAAAGGGGCAGCCCGGTGCATATTGGCATCCTTGCATGGCGAGGATCCGGGAAAGGGTCCCACCACAATGGAGTACAAGGGGCAAGCCTTCCCTTGTCATTTTGAGAAGAGACCGCTCCCAACTCCCAAGACTTAAACACGTGACTTCTCGGTCACACAACACCTTAGCCGGTGCGCCTAAGCTCACCTTCATATACTTATCGCTGAATACTTGTGATAAATACACTACACTGGGTCACATGCAATTATTCTTACTAGTTTGACTGTTTGAGTACTTTCCATGTGCTAGGTATATCTTAACACAAACCGGTAAATGTGAAAGTCGTACTTTGGCTTCAGAAGTAGTAGTATCTTTTTGTGGCAAATGCTCCTTGAACTTTCTGAAAGTACCTGTATGGACAAAAAAAGGCTTATCATTTCAAACAAAATTTACAGATTACCAGTAGCATGTTGAAAATTGAAATGTGTCTGCAAAAGGATAATAATTCTAAATTTTAAGCGTTTTTGTCATTGGAAGATGTAGATTCCCTCCCCATTCCTATCCTCCCAAATTAAATTTAAAGATTGGGTCTCCGTCTTTCAAAGATGCAATAAGGCAACAATAAATGAATGGCTAATAGCTTTATTTTATTTAAGGCATCACATTTCTTATCTTGGTTCATCCGCTCGAAAAACCTTTGGCAAATTAAAACAAGAAGTCTACTCTCAAATAATCAAGAGTGTCCAAGCACATACTAAACAGTAATAAACAATAGAACATTTTAGAATGAAAAGTATCTCTACCCGCCTGAACAAAATCTAAAAAAAGACAAGGCATAACATAACATTATCCGATGTCAATGAGGTATTTATATTACATATTGACTGCAGTAACTTATTGGTTACAAGACTCATAGTAATAAATGTGACACCATCACACTACATAGGAAATCGAGCATAATGCATTGAAAGCATTTGTGATTACCATCAAGTTTATCATAAGCCTCATTCGAGATTGTGTATTTCTCCACAAGAGAGGTGTCATCTATCCAACCACCAGCTGATATTGAGGATGGATCAATGTCAATAACATGTAGCCTATACCTACATGAAAGAACAAAGACCTCAGACAAAATTAAAGAACATTGAAGTATGGAAATAGGGTTTGGGGCGGAGGATGGGGTTTGGGGAGGGGGTTTACTCCCACATCTCCTGCCCCACGTCTAAAAAGTTCCCACCCCATATTTTAACGGGGTACGAATATCTCACCCGCCCCTGCCCCCTGCCCCCGCCCCATCCTTCCCTCACGGGGGGGGGGGGGGGGTGCCCTGTACCCATGCCCCCCCCCCCCATTTCCATGCTAATGGGGAAAGGATATAGGCTAAAGTGCCATACTATCAAACACATTAATATAAATTAGTATAAATTGTGGTCTTCTAACAAAAATGTATACCAAAAGGATACTACTAAAGAGAAACATAAATGAATAGGTAAGGCGTGACCAAACCTTACATTACACATGTAAAAAATAAAGGTGTGGGCAAGGTTGTATACTAAGAAGCACATAAAATGTAGCAAGGAAATAAGAAAAATATCTAGAGTTCATTGTTAGAAATTAACTAAAACAGATCCATAGTTCCATCCAGGGGGAACACCCGAAATTAAAGGTAATATTCTTGTACCAAATATGAACCAGTTGTATTTCACATAATAACGCTTTTAAAAAGTGAAAGCTTTTATGGAAACATCAATGTAGTAGAGGAGACAAACTAACCCATCTTGTGGAGAATAAAAGCCAAATGGCCTCATGTTATCGCTTAATTCTGAAATTTTAGAACCGCTATCATCATAAAGTTCAAGACGCATTGAAGTGACAGAAGTACCACACTTTTTCCAGAGCTTTTCTTTCACAGCTTCTACCGTCATCTGGCCATAGAAACAAAGTTGACTCATCATGTATTTAAAGACTACAACTTATACAAATGGGTGTATGGTTCAATTCTTAAATGGGAAGATCACAGCATTATATTCTACGTAGTACTTGATTAAAGAATAACAGGAGTAAAATACTTTTTTTTTACATTCTTACAGTAAGAGACTGGTCAGTTCACATGATATTCTATAACCCTAGTCATGCGAGTAGTGTTATACTGTACTTGATTAAACCTATTACACAACCTTGGCAATATATTATTACCTTAATGTGTAGGTGATGTTAAATAGGCAGCAATCTGATTAGAATGTCTAACATTTTGTTTCTGGCATTACTTTCACAGTCCAGCTATGCCATCCCGGTGTTAAAACATTCCAACATTACAGTTGACTCTGCATTTTAATGTGTAACTTATCATCCTTGCTAGTTAGCTCTCTCTCTCTCTCTTAATATAAATAATGTGTGGGCATGTAAAAAACCAATGAGTCAACTTCCGATTTCCATTCTCGATTAAATTCAAACCAGCTCTATTTCGATGCAGTGTAATATTCATTGTTAAAATATTTGAGAATAACGACACTAATGACTAGTACCATTGAACCAACAAGACGAAAAAGGAATTGATAAGATGCATATATACCTGACGGTAAAAACGGATATCAGCCAAGAAACTCTTGATATTGGAATGAGTGACCCTGAGCAAAACCAAATCATCTGCAGGTACTTGTTGAATTACAGAAGCCATAAGGAACAATATGGATTTTGCAATGCAAATGCTCGCTTTAACCTTTTAGCCAACCAGTACACAGAAAATCACCCTCCAACCGGAAACTAATATAGCCTGTGCAAGAACACAGCTTTATAAGTAAAAGAATCAAGGAGTAAGTGCAATTTCGCTATGACTTTGAAAATGCAGTGGGCACAACTGCACAAGGGGAGTCATACAATTCTGTACGCCCACAGGAGGGATTAAGGGCTGTTTACTTAAAAGGATTACTATATAAATGCAGTAAATAAATATTTTCATAGCTAGACAACTATTGTGATTCCTGTTCCACATCCACACTATCAAACACAGAGTTGAAGGTTATCAATTAAGCAGGGGTGGACCTGTATATTTGAAGGCCTAGGGGCAAATAATTTGAAATGGGCCCAATTGTAATGAAAATTGTAAAACCTGTTTCTATCTAAATTAACATGCAAAATAATTATATTTGAAGACCTTTATAGGGGGTGTTTGGAAATGATTCTGCTTCTGCTTCTTTTCAAAGCAGAAGCAGAATCAGAATCAGTTTTCAGAAGCTGGTCTCCCCCAACTTCTAAAAAAACTGATTCTAGAAGTAAATTAGAGCACCGGAATCACTTCTGAACTTTCACCCAAAACACTCCAACTTCTGTTTCTGCCCCCTCAGGAAGTAGAAACAGTTTTATGAATCAGATCCAAACACCCCCATAATAAGGAAAATACTTGAATTCGTTAAATTAAACATAGTCGAATCACATTTTCAAAATAACCAAATACAAATTATTGAAATACATTGCTTGATGACTACCAATGTTATCAACTCCTGAGTTCTCACCTCCTATGACATTATCATTATGAACTATTTCGTTTTCGCTAGCTGAATGATTCTTCTCCTCTAAGTTCTTATCTTCAGAAGGACTTTCAGAATTTGTCTTCTTCATTAAAACAAACTTTTCCATTGCACCTTTTTTACTTAGGGAAGCATTATCGAATTTTCTCTTCTTCATTTTTTTCTCTCATAGAGATTCATCCATTTTTATTAAACCTTGAAATTAGTTAAAGTTATAAATTTAACTATAACTGAAAATTTGTACCTAACAATATGAACAAATAAAACACCAAAACTCAATAGATAACAACCAACAATTAAGTGATTAACATGTAACAAATCAACTAATTATATGTCAACTATTCGTAATCACTTATAAGCAGTAAACAACTACACCCTCCGTCCCGCAAAGAAGTTCCCGGTTTGGCCTACACGCATATTAAGGAAATAAACTTACCAGTAAGTAAATTTTAGTGTTTTGACACTGTTTCGCCACTGTTTGGCACTGTTTGAAACTGTTTTGCACTGTTTTACACTGTAATATAACTTTCCATTTAGAGAAAGTGGAACTTCTTTTTGGGACTTCTAAAAAAGGAAAGCTGGAACTTCTCTATCAATTTATCAATTAATAAACTGGTCACATAATCATATGTTCGTATTAATCAAATAAATTAATAAAAGAAAATGCTAATTGTTATAAACTGGTCACGTAATCAATAAAAAATGTTAACAACTGTGATTTTGTAAAAGTGTAAAACAATGGGTCAATGGCCGAACTGCTGAATTGAAGGTGTACCTGATATTCTGATAACAAGAACTCTTGAAGGATTGGAGAGTTGGAGTGCTGGACGCCGACGACCGATGTTGAAGACGGAACCGCTGGGTGAGTTTACAGACGGAAGTACGGAACTCAGTTTACGAAACTGAACTCCTGTGTTAGACTGTTGGCGACTCCGTATTTTTTATTTGGGCTTTACGGCTGGTTGGTTGGGCTGCACAAAATTAATTAGTTTGGGCTGAAAATCAGCCTACTCAAACAGACTTCAAATAATTTTTTGCCTAAGAAAATGAGATTACAATTTTGGGAACGCGTAGTTAGGCCGCATAAATATTAGTAAATATTAGTAAATATTAGAGCATCTCCAATGGTAAAATGTGCACGGTGCGCACGTGGTATCAGAAATAACCACATAAATATTAGTAAATAAATTTTTTCTCTCCTTATTTGAATGATTTTATATAGTTTTGGTAAGTTTTTCTCCACAATGTCAAGGAGACCGTCTAGATGTTGACATTGTTGTTGACATTGCAGGGAAAAACTTACCAAAATTGTATAAAATCATTCAAATAAGGAGGAAAATTATTTATTTGCTAATATTTATGTGGCTATTACTCATGCCACATGTGCACCGTGCACATTATAGCATTGAAGATGCTCTTAGTTTTCGTTTCGACCGTGCTATCGGGTTAGCAAACTTCTGGAGCTCTCGGCTCCTACTTTCTCATGAAAAAACTGTCAACTTGGTTATCGTACTATCACGAAAAATTCAATCGAGTCCTTAGATTTTCAAAAAAAAAAAAATTAATCAAATTCCTGAATTTTGAAAAATAAATGATCGATTGGGTCAATTAGCAGGTTACCCGTCACGTCAGCAGGTCACCTGCTGAGGCAACGCACTCGTAGAAGTCTGCCCTTTATATTCTGATAGTTACTATGCACATCTTGGAATTGTATATTGACTACGCTATTTTATATATGGATTGTAGGATTCAATGGATCCTTATGTGTCATTACCTCCAATTGTTGCAAATTGGAAACATTTTAGACTTGGATCCGCAATAGGGTGGTGAGAGACCCCATACTTAGCTCGTATTAAGGTTTTTGATGACATACTTGTAATACATGTGGGTGATCAAAGTAAGGAAGTTATTAGCATTGAAGAAAACAAATATTTCTCCACACACACACATATCTTGTTATATGGCATTATCACCATGCAAATACTTTCCACTTTACTTGAACTTATATTTGTTTACTTTTAATTTTTATCTTGTTAAAATTTGTTTGTCTATTTACCGTTAAATATTTATTAGTTTGATATTATATTGTTATGCGTTAGGGGTTTAACGATGAAACACAGTAATGATTGAACATTTTTCATTGCTTGGCAGTTAACTGATGATCTACATTGTACCAGAATTGCACCAATATGATACTATCGATTTTTATATTGGTTTTTCAAAAAAAAATCTATAATCGAATTGATATTGGATTAACGATTCATCAAATGGTTCCTAATTTTCTTTCAAGTACCGAATCGATCTCATTCCTATAATTTTCTTCATAAGATGATATATAGAAATCAATTTTTAATTACTTTTAAGTTAATGTAGAATCTCCTTATTCAATTTTATTTAATCATAAAATGGTAAAATCGGAATTCAATTTTCAAACCACGCATAGCGAGACTATCCTGGTTCCACACTCCGACACGGTACTAGTCCATGGCCGGTTAGCTGATTTGTAACCCCGAGTAATAAAATAATTAATCAAATCTAGTTTTGTTCTGAATCAGATCTATGCGTACTTGTGATGAGTAGAAGATAAAGAAAAGGTCCATGGAAATATTTGGTGATGAGAAGGGACAATTGCAGTGAATTATTGTACTAAAAATGAGTTAAAAGTTTACGAGAGTCTGTGATTTTAAATGTTTAAAAAATGAATAAAAATTTGAAGATGCCTAGACTTTTTTAGACTTTTAAAAGTCTAAATTGAATACACCTAGACCTCTTTTTAGACTTTGAAAAATCTACATTCAATTCAATACACCTATACTCTTACAATCCATGGACTTTAAAATATGTCACTAATTTCACATACAACCTTCCAATTCAAGTACAGTAAAAGAATCTACCTTATTTGTTTTTTGTAAACAGTTCGTAAGAAATATTTTTGTGACATATTTTTATGATCAAAGTGTTGGTGTTTGTATAATCACAATGTCTTTACTTGAATTGATTTCAATCCTTAGATCAAATCAGAACAGGCTTAAATAGACCAGACCATACTAGATGAAATGAAATGTCTTCCAAAGTCCATAGATAATTGGCAATTAATTTCGGACTCGATCACATGAGTTTCAATGGTAATGGTAGTACTTAGGGTATGTTTGGCACAACTAGCTGAATAGATATTTTTGTGAACTTTTTAATAACTGTTAGCTTTTAATGACTGAAAAGATCTTAAAAAGAAAAGGTGCTAGTTGTTTGGTAAAAAGCCGACTGTTTGATTTAGTTCGGTTTGGTATACAACCTGTTAGAACTAATTAATACTAAAAGTCACGGGCTTTTTCCAGATGCTACTCCCTGTAGCATCTTAAAAAAGATCTTTTAATTTTTGAAAAGTTCTTAAAAATTGTTATGCCAAACATATAACTATGGACTTAGACTTTTTGAATAGTACAAAAACTAGAATACAGGAACTTATTCCCGCCAAATAGAGCCGGCCATGGCCGGCAGGCACCTAGGCCATTGCCTAGGGCACCACACCCTAGAGGGGCCTCATTTTTGTAAAAAATTAAACCACTATATTAATACGTAGTATAATACCAGTACTTCGTATTACATTAATGCTTCGTACAAGATACACGTAGTTGCCAGCAATTGCAACAACAAAATTTCAAAAGGCACAACTACAACATAATTTAATCAAATTGGATAAGAGTACTTAACAAGCATATGGAGCTTGGCCGGATGGTCCAATAGGAATTTAGGTAGTTCAATAGTCTTCTAGCCCATAGGCTATTAGTCTATCACCCCGGAGCTTAAGTGTTATTTGATGTCATTAGTCATTCTCTGTCTGGGGTATCAAAACTCCTGGAGACGGCCCTGCCGCCAAACATAGCCTTAGTAACGTAACGAGAGCTTATAAGTTCTAAGTTTCTAACTATGCCACGTACACTTTTCTGATGCCATCTTTTCACCGTGAAATGTGCAATACATAGTTCAGATAGTCGATATACTTATTTATGATATTAGCTAGTATATCACCATTCCTAAAGATCATATAGTAGTCTATAGTGCAATTAGCCAGTTATAATATACTTCGTATAAAGGTGTTGTGAATTATTATAATCGGACCCGTATCTATTACTACGGAGTACGGAGTACTATATTGCGCATAATTTAAAGGGCTATCACTAATTAACTATTCCTTTAAAAAAAAACTAATTACCTATAGTCGGCCTTCAAGAGAAGGATTAGAATCAATAGAATGTACTTCAATTTCATGCATGATGATAAGATCTAAAAAGAATGTAAGAATTAAAACATACTACGTATGTATAATGCTAAAAGTAGTGTCATTTTATGCTCGTAATAAATGGGATGTATCACTTCCATATATAATAAATAATCCAAATAGAGAGAACATAGACATAATAAGTTCATAGGTGGACATAGTCAATAGTTATATATATAAAACCATTAAGAGATCTAGAGAGAGCTTGTAGACACTCAATATCACTAACGATCAAAAGGACCGGTAGGATCAAGCTGCTTACACAAACTCAAATAAGTCAGGTAAAGGATTCTATCCTTGGCTCCTGTCCTATGATTTTGCGTGTGTTTGCAAAAATATCTCAGCTGCTCGAGTGTGCAACACCCGAGGAGCTGCCCTAGTAGCAAAAAGAGCCAGTTTATGGCCTTCTTGCTACTTGCAATAACCGGTTTGACACTATTCTCTTGCTCACAAAACCTACAAGTAGGGAGAACCGGGTTCCTCCACACATCGGGTGCCCGATCATGCATGTTTTCTTTATTTTCCATTATAAACTTGCCAATCTCGTAAAACTTTTCTCTCAAATCAAATCCCATCTCATAGGTTCGCTCGCATCGCTTGCATTGCACATCTCCGGTGATGGTAAATATCTTATTTGATATCAAATAACTTAGGTTTTGTATAGTTGCACGCTTATTCGTTGACCACGGGAATAAAGAAGGTACATTCTCACTCTTGCCTTCGCGTGGTGTCTCTGTTAGGTTTCGCCGCCGCCGTACTTGTCTCGGGGGAATTAGTTGTCTTTGAGACGACAGGACCGGTGGTTGTGGGAGGACGAACTGTGGTACATGAGTAGATTCCTGGCAAGCCAATGAAAGTCGAAGAACATCTCCATCATCTCTACCACCATCTTTTTCTTGGTTTTCTTTTTCATGGTTCTTTCTCTTGTTGTTCATGTCACTTCCACGCTAGAAAGCTGCACTAAATATTATCATAATAAAGATGTAATGTGTAGAGCACTCTTCCGGTCAGGAATTCCTGACCGGAACCGCCGTCCGGACGGCGGCGTTTGGCCGCCTTCCGGGTGGAATTTTTCGATGAAATTTTTATGACATGTTCTTCATCAAGTCTAGTTTATCCAAAAAAAAATTTAGCCAAAAACTCATTCGGGAAGGTCGTCAAATGATTTTTGCAAGTTAACTGGTCCGGAAAATACATATTCCGGACGAGTTAACTTGCAAAAATCATTTGACGACCTTCCCGATTGAGTTTTTGGCTGAATTTTTGTGTGGATAAACTAGACATGATGGAGAACATGCCATAAAAATTTCATCAAAAAATGTCACCGGGAAGGCGGCCAAACGCCACCGTCCGGACGGCGGTTCCTGTCCGGAATTCCGGACATGAATAAAATTCGTAATGTGTATATATATATATATATATATATATATATATACACACACACACACATACACACACACGCACAAACATATACTTCCTCCGTTCTTTTTTAGTTGCAACAGTCAACCTTTGCATATTTGCCAACGCACACATTTGACCGTAAGTATATCTTAATCTCTATTAATAAAAAAATATTAAAAATCAGATTTTGAAAATTTGTATTGAGATGAATTGAAAAATATTTTTTAAGAAAATAATTTCCGTAACATAATAGTGTAAAATGTAGTCAAAGTAGATAATGTGAATAGTGCAAAAAGTCAACATGTTGCAACTAAAAAAAGACGGAGGATATATAGTATATAATAAGTAGATTATTTAATTATTTATCATGATAAAGAATCCTAACCCTAACAAAGTCTTTGAGGGACGGGACTACTTCTTACAAGTTACATCCAAGTGATATTCGTTCTAGCTTTAATCAATAAAATAAAATATGGACTAATTAATGTAGAGAGGTCCACTCGGTTTTTTTTACACTTAATTAGTATCAATGTATTCATGTTTTATCCAAATCAGTAGCAATACTTTAATTTCTATGTGTTTAGTACGTACATTCTTCATACGTAGTGACTGTATCAATTCAATGCGTGAATTAATTTGCATGATTGCATCAAATCACTAATGATAAACACTGGTTATTGGTGGAGTGATTCTTCAAAGTGGCTTGATCATGGGTCAATAATTTTTTTGGCACTAGATACAATTGTAGATTTTGTGAATTTCTTCAACGACGGATTTTATTAAGTAATACTCGGTATATTTCCCCTTGCACATGATGATTTTCCAATTTTAGTATTTAGATTGATTGATTGAATATGAGTTGAGTATATTTTACTCATTTTGTCTACTCCATATACTTGTATAATCTACAATTGCATACATACATACATACATACATATATATATATATATATATATATATATATATATAGAGGAATGCTCCTGTCCAGACGTCCGGACAGGAGCCGCCGTCCGGCCGGCGGCGTTTGGCCGCCTTCCCGGTGGAATTTTTTGATGAAATTTTTATGGCATGGTCTCCATCAAGTCTAGTTTATCCACAAAAAAATTCAGCCAAAAACTCAATCGGGAAGGTCGTCAAATGATTTTTGCAAGTTAACTGGTCCGGAAAATACATATTCCGGACCAGTTAACTTGCAAAAATCATTTGACGACCTTCCCGATTGAGTTTTTGGCTGAATTTTTTTGTGGATAAACTAGACTTGATGGAGAACATGCCATAAAAATTTCATCAAAAAATTCCACCGGGAAGGCGGCCAAACGCCGCCGGCCGGACGGCGGCTCCTGTCCGGACGTCTGGACAGGATCTTTTCTATATATATATATATATATATATATATATATATTTAGCATTAAAATCTCTTACAAGTTATATTAAAAACTCCATATAGCATGTACTGCATGCATAGTAACTTACTAATTATTGCGCGAGTGACGCAGGTTATATTTTCATTTTCAAAACAATGAATCAATACAACTATATATATACTCCGTATTCTGTATATACAAACCACAAATGTAAAGTATACCGACACTCTCTAACACATACTAGTACGTCGTATAAGTTAGATGAGAACCATGAAATTAATTAGTTTATTAACATTACAAAAAAATATGGGATTCACAATTTTTTAATGGAAATTCAACAAAATTCATAGAAGATTGGTGTCATATGTCAAATCCACCAAATTTGTGCCAAAAAACTTTTGAAATGAACTATTTGACATGAAATCATCAGTAAACTTGTATCAAATCTGTATCAAATTCTTAATTTTTTTGTAGTTTGAAAATTACAGGAACTTACATTATTTATGTGAGCTTCCTGTACGAATGATCAACGGAGAGGCAAATAGAGGCAAACACTTTCATTGCTGAGGTAAAGAATGAACATTGGTTGTGGAAGGTGTTTGGACTTTGATTTGGATGACTAGACAAGCTATGGTAATTAAGGTCGCGATCGGTCTTTGGTTTTAATTTATAATATAAATTTCCCGATAAATTGCGTTTGATATTAATGATAAACTAGCCACGCATTAATTAGCATGGATTAGGCCAAGTAGGACTGTAGCACTTGAGGATGTCGTAATGTATATGGTCTCTACTATAGCTAAAACTCGATCTAAAAAGCTGAGCAAACACATGGGACATGGCCATGGGGGTCTTAATTTTGATAAACAGATTTGACAGAATTTGGATGTATGATTTCGTATCAAATAGCTTGACATAATGTTTTGGGACGACTTTGGCACCTCCGTGCCAAATCTATCAAAAACATCTGTTAATATCATCATTTTTGTACTGAAATAGAATTATAATACTCGCATAATAATAGGATTTGTTTATGGTTCAATTCAACTAATCTATTATTAGACCCACACAAAATCGGGCCGGTCCACACAAATGGACGGACTTGAGCATATATATTATCCACCGGACAGGCCCGTGTCCGGCCCGCAATAACATATGGGCGGGCTTGGATTAGGGTGTAGGCCCGTTCGAACCGATAAGCCTGACCCGCTACATTTGGTACACACACTACACGCACGCATATACTTATTTATTTATTTATTTATTTATTTATTTACATGTACACATGTATATTTATATTTACTAATTTATCTTTATACATATTTATAGTTTATTATGTTTAAAGTTAAGTTTTTAGTTCTTAACAACTAGCTCAACTAATATAGTACTCTGTATCTACTTTTGTACTTAAAGATAATAGTTTGGACTTGAATTCTAAATTTTAAATATAGTTTTTCATTATTATTTTTGTGTAAGTATTATTTTTGTATGTGGTGAAAGACCTATAAACATTATAAGCGCATTAACAATTTTTTAAATGTTGTAATATTATTTTTAAAGTATTAAAAAATTATATAATTTTGAAAAATTTAAAGTTTTTCCGGGCCGGGTGGCCAGGTTGACTACCTGGCCCACTCTTACGGGCGGGTATGGACATGGGGTTAGCCCCATTTTTGCGGGCCGGGCCGGGTTCGCCCACACATGATGGGCAAAAATTTTATAAAGAACTCGATCTGAGCTCGGCTCAAACTCATTTTTGTGCAGGTGTATCTATTATGGGTTTCTGAATATTCACAATAGATTTTTTATTTTTAATTTCGTTAACAGTTCAGTTTTCGTTTAATTCAATTTTAATCTTTTGAGCCAGGTTTGTAGCAAATATAATTTTTTTGTACTTCATGAGTTATGTTCGTAGTAAACCAGTAATCATGGAATATTTTGTATAATCTTGTTATTAGTATTTAATTAAATATTTTACATTTTTATATGAAATAATTACATAAATATGATCAAAATAAAGATGATTTACAAAAATATGACTAGTGACTAGAGTAGTAATGAAATCATCGTAATTCATGTTCAAGTTTTGAGCTTAAGTTACTACAACACCACATTGTAGTAATGAATATTCATATTTATGTAAATATGTTTTATTTTAGTAATATTCTTGTAAAAAATCCTTTTTATATAGAAATAATCTTGTTATTTATTATAAATATATTTATTTTATAATTTGGTAGCTGGATTATTTGGGCAGTTTAGCAGCGGTGTACGAATGTACGATTAGATCCCAAAGAGCGTTATTCTTTCTTGAGAATTTTATTTCAATATTAGTTGGAGTCACAATTTCTAAACTGGGCGGTGTATATCCCAAATTTTATCCAAAACTGAACTAGTTTAACCGGTTCAAAACAAAATCTCGGCCAAAAACACGATGTAAAAATTATTAAATTATTTATTTTCTAAGAATTAGACCTATACTAGTGTAACACCCGGGGCATGCCCCGGTAGTGTTAATTTGATATGGGTCTGGTGACAAATACTAATAAACATCATAAACTATTCATGTGAATGATCTAAAGTTTGGTGATTTCTTTTATGAACTAACCACCACCATGAAATACAGATGAAGAATCATCATCTTTTGGAGTACTAATTTGTGGTTATATTTTGGTTATGTGCTTATTGTTGTAATAGTTAGTAATTATTTATAGGGCTAATTTTATGATAGATGAGGAATGTTAAGAAGAAGTGTTAAATTGGAATTGAGAATATGTGAAATTTACCATTTACATTATTTTGGATATCCACATGTATTATTGATAGAATTCTTATTGATATTGTACGATAGAGTCTCGTCCACGTGAATTAAAGTTCCATTATTAAAAACTTTGTTTTGAATTAGAACCTCACTGAGATGTGTAAGATTAGTTTTGTGTTATTATAGTCCTACTATGTGTATTAGAGCCTCGTTATTTAAAGTCTTTGATGTTGTACAATTATTTTGAAAACTGAAATGATATGATATTTATTCCCAGAATTATACTCCACTAATATGGTTGATATTAAGATGTTGTTCAATACGCTTAATATGAATATTTATGATTTGAAAATTTTTAATGTCCAGTCAGATCTTGTATGATCCCGATATGAATTTTTCTGATCTCATCTGAATCTTTCAAATTTGATCTAAGTTCTTATGATTTTAATCTGATCTGAATAATTTCGATCTGATCTAAATATTTTATGTGATTGAGTATCTATTGTTTTATATAGTAAAACTCAGTTTTAAAAAGTAGCTAGAGAAAACATTTACACCATTTGGCGATAAAATTATTTAATGTTGTTGGCAATGAGATCAGGATATTTTTACTTAAATTATTTTCAGTTCGGGACCACACCATACCAGAACAAACAGAAATATAACATCAATAGAATGTTTTAGTAGTAGTGATAATAGAATTTCTGTAAATCAATAGAATTTTTAACTCAGATTTGTTATATAAAATACCACCTTTATCTCATTCAAAAGTTCTTGTAACTATTATCCAATTTTTATTAAGTTTGAGTTTTTCTTTTGCGACTTTATAAAACTTTTGATGCAGTCTTTGTATATGTAAATTTTATTTACTAAAAAGAATCTAATTAGTGATATGATGAAATAACTTTATGATCAGTCAAATATCGTAAATCGGGGCCTTTCTACGTGACACAAAGAGTAATAAATATTTTTTATTTATATATATATATGATATTGGTGTCATATGAAAGATTATAAAAAATTGTGAATTTTTATATAGTCTTTGTCGAAATTGGATTATAAATATAAAAGTTATATCACTTTAAAAATAGAGATTATTTCTCCTTTTTTTGCTCCAAATCAGTTGTGATGTAGGGAGTTTTGTTTAAATAGCCGTGTGATGATGTAGCTAGATAATTATTTAATTTAGTTGTTGGGATAATAATATTTATATTATCCAATAGGAGGATGACACATCATTAGTTTTTAACTCAACTTTACTATATAAAACTATAGATATTTTAGAAAGTTCTTGTTGGGTGTGTTTCGAAAAATAAAGAAAATTAATTAAAATAAATTAATTAAATAAAATGACTAGAGAAAAACAAGTAAGGAGATGAAGAAGAATTAGTCAAAGCTCGTGCTACGCACGATGTCCTTAAAACGTATTTGTTGCCTCCCACGGTGCTAGGAGCGTTGCAACAATCGTTTACCAGGATACGATGACTACGAACAATTGTTTGAGCACTCAAACGAATTGTCCCGACGAACGAGAACAAGTCTGAACACTCAGGAATTTTCAGAGGTAGTTGGAGGTGTTTTTTAGCTGAAGAAATATGTGAGCTAGTGTGTAAGAACGTATAAGATCGTGTCTTGTTGTAAACCACCTGCCAGCCATTATATAGGAGAATTTGTTGTGTGCAAATGGTGAATTAATGGACCTGAACGTTGGACATCAATGACCAGTCCATTGGGCATTGGATCGTCTATGAACTGTCCATTTAACGCTGCATTAAAAGATAAGAACGTTGGACATTTATTGCTGTAACAGACAGAACAGAACACCCCGAGGTGTTCTATCCGAGCTTCGCAACAAAGGACCCCTAGGCCTTCTGTCCGCAACAGAGGACCTCTAGCCCTTCTGTCGAGCAGTTCTGTTGCGCGGAAGACGTGTTCTGTCCAGGCAGCAGTTCTGGGAAAAAATAAACGTTTCGGGAAGAAAACAAAAATTAACCATATCTCTTGAGAGATAGATTTTTGTACAACATTCGTGTCCGCAGGTCGCCCGCGCACGCAAGTCGCGGTTTTTCTTCTCTGATTTCGGGATTTGTTTTGCACCCCCCCTGCGCGCGTGGAGAGAGCCTTTACCCCAAGGAATCTTAACTCCTTAAGGGGGGAGTCCCTTTATAAAGGGTTGCAAATCCCTTGGGTTTTCCGGTGTGGGAAATAACACACTAGAAACTCATCCTTTTTTCCTGTTTTAACGGGTAAACTTCGAAAAGAGATTTCTCATTCACCCGTTATCCGTTTTGAGCATACCATATATCGAATTGTAGCCCTTAAAAGGGACAATCCGAAACCGCTTTGACCCGACCCAAATCGTAAGTGGACCCCACTCAAAAATTGCCCCAAAATTACCATTTAATGCAATTTTTAACACATTTTTCCAACAGTTCTTAGTAATAATTATTAATATTATTTATTATTCTTATTTTTGTTATTGTTACTTATTTATTTTACCAGTTCTAAAGAAAATAGAGTAGCACAATCTCAAGGTAGAGAATTAACTATTAAGTATTTCTATTTTTAAGAGAATGAAAATGAATAAATGAATACGTCTATTTAAGAGTGAAATAGTATGAGTAATGAATAGTGTGCAAAAAGTAAGAGAGAAAATAGAAAAACATGGAAGAGAAGATAAAACGTAGAAAATGTAAGGTTAATTGGATATTTTTAAAGGAAAAATTACCAAAAAGGAAAAATGCAACAAATTTTTAAATACATCCCGAAAAGGAAAATGTAGCAAACTTTTAAATACGAAGAGAGTATAAATCGGGATAATATACTCTTTATCTTAACAGAAATAATTTGGATATTCATTTTTTTTTATCGAACATCTACA